AACACATAAACACATTGGCTGGCAATCACACACTTGCAGAATACACACACAGTATACAGTAAAAAAACACAAAACTACAATTTCTAAACGCGATAGATAGATAGATAGATAGATAGATGTGCGGATGTGCATGCTTGAACTCATGAGCAAGTACAATCTGACACAACAGGAGACAGCTTCAAACAACATGCTGGAAAATCAAATTAACTCCCAATACAATATTACAGTGATGTTGAACTAAAAGTTTTGAGTCCCTTCCTCTTGTTTTACAACTTCAAAGTTTCAAGCTAAAACTGTGTTGACCTGGTAACAAGTTTAAAGTTGCCTCCAACCTGCCACATTGCCTACATTATAAACACAGCAGATCATACCCTTCATATCGCAACCACCTGATCCCCATCCTGGCTCTGGCTAAATCTACATCTGTCCACTGCAGAGGCTCTAGGAGGAACTGTGTGTATTCATATAATATTATAACATGAATAAAAGTATAAAAGAGAAAAGATCGGGGTGCCGATACAGGTGCCAACATGTGAACACCATGTAAATGTGAAGTACTGGCACTGTGCTGAAAAAAATGAATACTGATAACCCTGGAGTGCAGGCTTGGTGGGCCCTGAGACTACATAGGACACTCCATAAAAATATTTAAATCAAGAAAGTCCTTAGTTAAGTAAGGGGATGGCTGTAATATTATTATTACAACCCACCCCACCCCTGCCAGCCATTGTTTAGCTAGCTGTATCAGCAAAGTGGTTAGAGAAATAATAATGGGAAAAAATGCATCACATCTTGTCTAAGAAACTACATTTTAATCTAATAGAAGTCATACAATTTTATCTGTAATAATATAGATACTAAAAAAAATATAGTCTTGGTCAAAACATTTACTTTCTTACCTCAAAATTTATTTTTTTCTCTCTATATTATGAATGTGCCTGTTTCCAGCCCTGACAGTGTTTGAATGTGTGTGAATGGTGAATGCAATGTAGTGTAAAAGCGCTTTGATTGGTCGCAAAGACGAGAAAGACGCTATACAAATACGGAGCATTTACATTTACATTTACAACCACCATGCAGGTTCTGGGAGGAAATAGGTAAATACTGAAATGATCTCAAGACTCCTGTCTGATCCCTAATTGGTGTTGTTACAACTCTCCCCATGTTACAACCTACATACAGTATAACCCCTTTAAGCCATTTTATTAACGCATCATTTTAAAGTTAATTTAAGCAATGGTATGATTCTGGCCACTATTCATGGAAGCAGAGCAGAGATTGTTTGCTTGAAATAAAAACAAAAATGTGGTGATTACACCCGGCTCACATTAACTCAATGCTGGTGATTTGTCACGTTGTTCTCAGTTAAATAATGTCACTGTTCAAAGTCACGTAGTAGCATATTAATCACTGCCATTTTGGAAGCAATACACTGGTGAAATTGACTCATGTTTAATCATCTTGATGTGAGTGTGATTCTGTATTTCTGTCCCTTGATAAATAACCTATATAGTGAGAAGTGCTTCATATGTGAAAATAAACGTTACCTTTCAGGTGATGAATAGTAACATGGTAATGGTGAGGTTGACTCCCAATTTCTCTGACATCACTGATCTAATTTTTAACATGTAGAGAAGGTTACACTGATTAGAAACAAAATAAATGATTTATATCACATAAATAATTTTTCTCACTATTTTTTCCCACTATTGTGGGTAGCGATGGTTCAGTAGATGAGGCACATGCCTTTGGTGTGGGAGGCCCGGATTCAAGTCAAGTCAAGTCAAACTGTGACACATCCACCAATGTGTCCCTCAGCAAGACACTTAACCCCAAGTTGCTCCAGAGCAAATTAATGAATTAATATTACCTGTTATTAAAGAACTACCCATTCAATTAAAATTAACTTAATTAAAATTCAATTGTTAGTTCAATTCAATAGTTTAGTTCAGTATAGTTTAATATTTTTTTATCAAAGGTGTAGAGGGTGTATGCTGAACAGATAAAACCCTTTCACCAAAACCCTTTGGTAAAAAATAGATTTGGGGTTGTTTAAATAAAACTGACTTGACTTTTAGGTTGACAATGCCATTGTGTCATCCCAGCATGACAGTATATTCGATTACACAGTAAGCAGGTGTGTAGAGTTTGTAGTATGCATTACATTAGTGATTATAACGAATACAGCAAAGTCTAAAGTCATGGCAATTGGCAATGTTGGACATGTTTCGGAGCTTGAATCCTACAGATTTTAAATACTTAACCAATACATTTTCCTGTCCTCCTTACAGCTGAACTGTTATTTAATTCTGATTTGTAAGGCTGGTTAGATGAATGTGACTCATATATCTTCAATGTGAAGAAACTGTACAAAATATGGCTATGGGTAAAAATAATAAAGTAGCAACAGCTGAAGTAGTGAAAACTTGATTAATGCTGCACTTGAAAAACAGGAGGAGCTGCATCCACAGTATTTCTCCTCTATACAAGTGGCTCTCGGGTTTATCATGCAATGCATTTGCAACAATGTTGCTGTGACATCTTGGCCTTTTCCATCGATTTCCCCTGTCCAGTAAAAAAAAAGATACATAAAAAGTAAGCAACATTTTAGAGATTTAAAGTTGAAGCAGTTTCTCGCTTACCAGCTCCACTCAAAACTATGTCTACACAAGTGTTTATTGATACTCCTTTTATCTTCTCTAACAACCCTATTTATTCTCTTCATCTTGCCTCTCTTCTCTTCCCAAATTATGTTTTCCTCCTCATCATCCTTCACTCGTTCTACAAGCCCTCTCGTCTGACTTCCTCACCATCATTCTTTACTGTTCATTTCTCTCCACTCTTATCCCTAATACTCTCATATCTTTTTTTAAATCTCCAGTCATCCTTTCTTTCTCCTATTATATATGTATATAAAGTACATATATTTTATCTTCACCATCCTCCTGTTCTTTTATACCAGTGTGCTCTCCCATCCTCTATATTGTGCTAATGTCAATATTAGTAAATCTTTCAGGTGAGCTCCCTACTCCTCCTGGTGTTATCCATCTTTCTTTCATCAATATTTCCTCTAGTATTCCGTAGCTTTCTGTATTTGTCTGATTACAGCTATATACCATACATGTACAGTATATAACATACAGAGTTTTTAACAGTATATTAAAACATAACGAGTTAAATTGAGAGAACATATGGTTCTGTATAAGATAAAAATGAGATTCCTTCTGTTATGACGTTTTCAAACCCACTCAAAGCCATGAACATTGTTGTCAATCTCACAACAGCAGTACCCTATGTTCTGAGTGTAAAAGCCTATGCTGTGGGTAATGCTTCTGTGCACTTCTCACCAAAATTATCTTCTGAGCAAACCATTCACATCAGTGTAAATGGTGTTTCGGATTGCTCTACATGCTTCACAAAGGAAGCAGAAAAATACGCTAAAGTATTAGATAAACTATCCCAACAGTGTCTTTCCAAACACAGACAAGGTCATAAGAAGAAGTATTAGTATTATTAAAGAAATTAAACCACTATAAGCAATGTAGGACTTCAGTATACACATTTATCTTTACACATTTGATGCCTGTGTGACAAACAACACAGCTGTGTGGAGTAGTACATCTTTCATACATTTCCTCTCAATTGTCCTCCTCCACACTCACACACACACACACACACACACACACAAACACAATGTGTCTGTGACAACGTGACACAATTGAAGTCAATCCCCCTTACTTACTATTCATACATATGAACACACACACAAACACGCTTGAGCACACATGCACCCGAGGATTGTCCTACATAGTGTCCGTGTTGCCTCAGCTGATGGGATCGATCATACATCACATACATGATAAAGGACAGGAGACAGACTACAACGGACAGTCAGGACTGCAGAAAAAATAATCGGTGCCAACCTGCCCTCCATTCAGGACTTATACATTTCCAGAGTCAGGAAACGGTCAGGAAACAGCACTGCAGATCCATCTCACCCCGGACACAACCTGTTCCAGCTCCTCCCCTCTGGTAGGTGCTACAGAGCACTGTACACCAAAACCAACAGACTCAGGAACAGTTTCTTCCCACAAGCCATCACTCTGATGAACAGCTGATTTCTGACTCACAGTGTCAGGAACAATTCCTGTGCAATAACCCAGTAACTCTGTCTCTAATCAGCACCTGTTCACTGGTTTCCACTTATTATTTATTTATTCACCATTCTCTATTTCAGTGCTGCTCATATGTCATATTGTATATACTATATACCAATACACCTACTTCAGGTCATAAGGTCATAGGTCTTATTTATTTTTTCCAGCATCCTTTGCACTATGCTCCATCACACTGAGTACATGTGTACATGTATGCATGTATGTGTATGTGTACCTGTATATCATATCCACCTTCAACATGTACATAATGAGAATAGTTTACTCTTGCATCCTTTGCACTCTGATTACTGCACTATTTGTCAATATGTCTATATTGTTTTGTTCATAGTGTGTATATTAGTGTTGTACTGTGTAGTTTGTGTCTGATTTTATTTTATTATATTATTATTTTATTATTGTATAAGTAAGCACATCGTGAGCAATGGACAATCCTGAGTCAAATTCCTCGTATGTGTACACATACCTGACAATAAAACTGATTCTGATTCTGATTCTGAAATAGACCCTGACTGCTGGGAACAACGCCTGAATTTTGCTCATTATAGTGGTTGGAACATAAGGACTTATACACACACACTACAACATGTATGAAAAACATTAGGAAAGCAGTTGAACCTTAAATGACAGAATTGATTGAAGCATGGCTACATTCATGCCAAAACACATACACATGAAGACATAAAATCACAAAGAATAGTCAACAGGTGCATAGGTTTTTGTTCTACAAAGTGCCGTGCCTTTCTCTTTGAGCTATAGAGGCACACACACATACACCAACACACATACTAACACACATACACTCAAACGGACATGTGGTCTTACCCTTCGAGACTGGATCTCTTTGACGTACAAAGGCAATAGGAATTCAGACACTCCCTCCAATCTGACACCTTCCTTGGTCACCCGCAGATTCCCCATACCATCCTAAAAAGACGGACATAGACACAGAGATATAGAGCGGAATTAAGTGGTTATTCACAGAACAAATGACAAGTCAAGTGAAAGCAATCTAAATATGTGCACATATAGTTTCCTCATCTCCACAGAGTCCGAATCTACTACCCTGCTCAGCTACATTCTGATGAGTTTTATGTATAAATGATAAAAACATATAATACTATTTGCCAGGTTAATCACTTAGTCATAAGTTTAAATAGCTTCAGATTTCAGAGAGCCTGAAATACATTTAACAAGTTCTACTTGTGTGTCCTTGTGTTAAAGGTTTTGTTGTCTCGTTGTATATATCTGAACCATTTGTAAAAAAAACTAAAATAAATAAATGTTATTTGGATCAACCAGTTTACACCATCCATCATATAAAACCGCACTTGACTGTAAGCTTATATCATGCGTCAGAATGTGGTTGGGAAAAAATTTACTAATCTTTCCCTTATCCTGTGAGTGGATTGTAACATTTCTTTGCAGCTCTGTATCTCACCACAGCTCTGTATTGTTTCACTGTAACTACAAATTGGCACTTCTACCTGGAACTGAAGCTAAACAGAATTACAGAATTAAAATGCAAACAACTCGTGGAAGTGATAGTCAGATCCCTTACTTAAATAAAAGCACAAGTATTTAACCTAAAAGCAATAATTTCATTGAAACCATGTGAGACATTTAGAGGGGAATGTCTCTGGTGGAACTGCTAATAACTCATAGATATCTGAAATGTGACAAGAGGCCCAAACTGCATGCTGACTTTTGTAAACTGGTTTAATCTTTAACAATGAATTGCATTTTGTAAGATTCTCATGTGTTTTTTAATGTAAAATCTAGATCTGAAAATGAACCAGTACCTACATCTGTCAAATAAAATGGAAATATTCAAGTAAAAAGAACCTCAAAAATGTAATTAACAGCACTTGAGGAAAGTCACAGCTACTTTCCACCAGTGATGAATACAAAAAGTTGTCAAAACTTTACCCATCAGAGTACTTACTCATCAAGGGTAGCTTAACTTCAGAAAATACAATTTTGGAACAACCTTGGCCCCAGTCACATATTACATTTATGAAAATACAAAATGTATGGCATTTGTCGTGTTTCATCTGCTTTATCTTGCAAATGTGTCCTGACTTAATGTCACCATGAATGTCAGTATTTAAGACATTACACTATTAAAGGTCTTAGGTTTAGACAATTTAAGATGTGCTCAGAGTTCTTAAGGATCTCCAGATACCCAGTAGTACTTAGTATTAAAATTAGTCATTGATGAGCAGTGTAATATTGATGTGAGATGGGAATACCATGTATTCACACAGGTCTGCTTCATCTACAGCCAGATCCTGTTTTACAGAGGATGTTCTTAACAGTCTTTAATATATTTTTAATGTAAGCATGTGATTATTAATACACATAGTCATCAAAGAGCATCACATAATAACCATTGCACCCAAAAAAACACAGAATGGAAGGGCAAGGAGGGAAATTATATGTTACACTTCATGTACATGTTGCGATTACATTATCATTTAGCAGCAACATATCCCAGAAGTCTTATTGATTGGCAAACTGCATAGCCAACAAGGAAGGACACATCCAATGATCTCAGGGAGCGGGAAGGGACATGGGGCAATAATAGATCTGAGGTTGGTGTGACACCTCTCATGGTTTTGTAAGTAATACCTTGAAATTAATTCTAAAAGGAACAGGTAGCCAGTGTAAGGAAGCCAGGATCTGTAAAATGTGATCATGTTTCCTAGACAAAGTCAAAATCCTGGAGCTTTGGATGAGCTGGAGGGGGAAGAGAATTATGGGGGTTTTTTTGATGCCAGAGAGTAAGGAAATACAGTATTCTAATTGAATAGTTATGAAGGTGTGGATAACAATTTCCAGATTTGTGGTAGAAAGCACTGGTTTAATACTTGAAAAGATTATGAGAGAAAAAAAATAGAGGTTTTCTAAGCTGAGGTTTTCATAAAAAAATTACACCAAGCTTTCTGCAGTGCTGTTATTGAATGCAGCCTAATGCAATATGAGTTACTGAATGGCACATAGGGTTGGGCCGAACCCCGCCCCCCCAGCAAAAAAATCTCAAATTTTCTAATTACACCACCCTGTGAAAGCAGCTTTTAATGACCACAAACATTCTTATTATTGTTTTTAAGTATGCTTTGCACGTGTTGTTCTGACACACTCCCACACACCTACACCTCAGGTAAACACCCCGGCTTACCCTGCCTCTCTCTGTCTCACTCCCCCGTCTGCTCCACTTTCTCCATCAGCAGTAGCCTATGTTTTATAAAGTCGCCTAAAACAGAACTTTTTTCCGTATATTTCCACCCGCGATCCGTTATCACGGCAGCAGGTGATGACGCAGCCTGTCCAGCAACTGAAACTAACATCTGCAATCTGTGTGTTCACTGTTGCTTTACCTGGTCCACCGCGACCGCGACTTGTAATCTAAGTTAATAGTCTACCAATTTTTTACAGAGTGAAGTTTAGCATAGAGTGCATACGACTATGAGCCCTGTATTGTTGTGTAAAGCACACATTTACAGTAGGCTGTAAAAATGGCTTTGTGCCGGTTTGTGATAGATCACAAACGAATGCTTGAAAGATTGTTGAATCAGACTTACATGGTAAGATTAAATTCCTTTCAAACAGCCATGCAGGGTATTAGGATAGTAGGGGCTATAACAGCACAAAGAGGCAGCTATTGTACTATGTCAAATCGGTGCTTAGCAGACTGAAAGTGGAGGGACTACAGCAGTGCAACAACTGCTTTGACCATGTGCTTGGTCAGAGTTTGATGAGGCCTCTGGGTATTGTAAGTTAAATGGAAACAAAAGTCTGTTGGTGAAGCAAATTGTTCCGCGGAAGTTGACACTTTCATGCGCACTGTCACGCATCATTGTCTTGTTTGTATAATCAGGTGAGCTGATAAGAGATCAGCTGTAATCATCAATATAATTGAAATGGATGTTTATCAGTTACTGGAAAAAGCATGGCAGTATGTAAGAGAGTTTTGTGGCCAAGAAAACATAGATCAGGGAATTGTAAACAAAGTAAATATAATTGTCCAATTTATACTGACTGTGTTAGTTTTTGGAGAAAATTAAAGAAACAAGCATGACAGGTGCGTCCCTGGTTATTCTGAAATAACTTTCCTCAGGGCAAACATGTTCAGGCTCAAAAAGTTGTTACTAGTGTAAAATAAGGTTATTTTGGCAGTAAAGCCTTAAACAAACACTGTGGATTGAACCAATTCAGCCTTCAATTGGAATAACTCTCCCACAGAATGTGTCGATGACAACAAATTAGTCTTGCTTCCCTGGTTCCCAGCTTTCTTTTCATGTTCACATATATTGATGAAACTGTCCATGAAGATAGGAAATTCTGTTCAGAATGCTGCACTGAATTATCATTAATTCTTAGGTGCAACAAACCAACAAAGCCTTTTAAATTAGAAATGTGCTCAAGGCACAAGAGGGAGAAAAGACAGTGAGGGAGAGAAATTGGGAGGATAAGACAATGAGGAGAGCAGGAGCGATGGAAGAGGAGGAAAATAAGTATAAGCTGGGGAAATAAAAAAACATAAAGAGGAATAAACTGCATGAAAACAGAATAAAATTGGAGCAAAATAAGACTAAAAACAGGCAGAGTCAGGCTCAACATCTGAGATGGAAACGCTGTAGCACAGGGCAGTGTTACAGATAATATGAAGATAGATAATATAAAAGCAGTGAAGGAGATATTGCTAGTCCGGAATTAGTCACACAGTCTGCAGTAAATGGAGAGGAGTGCTCTCTCGCACAAATTGACATACATATACTCACTCTTAACAGTCTGAACTCTCACAACAACAACATCAGTGTCTCCTCTCGGCTTCTGTTTCACTTGTCGAGGTATTTTGCCAAACAAACTGATCATCTTGTTTAAGCAAAGGGAGCAACTCATGAGAAATCAAGAGAAATACTATACTTGATACTTGACTATATGATTCAAAAAGTTTTACTTCACCGTATATAAATAATGTAATTTTAGTCTTTCTATTTTCAAGTTTTGTACTGATAAGACACATACAGTGTCACAGTTGTAATTTGACTGCTTTCTTGATTGGTGGTTGCAGCTAGTGACTTCAACATAAAGATGTATTTTGAATTATAACTTTAACGCCTCATTTCTGGCAGTATGTGGGGGGTTTCTACCTTCTTTTGCATAACACCCAATTAGAACACATGCATAGATTAGGAAACAACATAACTTGTTTAGATAAATGATATGAACTAAACTTGCTAGTTAACTTGCAAGTGAAAAAAAATGAATACTAAAGGTACTACTACTTTTATGGAAGTTTGTGCAAAATCTAAAAAGTTTGAATTAGAATCTGTTCAGGGTAATGGTTTCCGACAGATGATGATAATTGATCCATTTTATTACAAATCTGTAATCAAACAAACCTCCTCATATCAGAGGCGGGCAACCTTGACAGTCTGATATGTGATTTGTAACAAAAGACCAGTCCTTACCCCATATATTGGTCTATATGTAATTTCCACACACACACACACATACAAAAATGGAAGCATGGCAAAGTGATACGTGTGTCAGATCGATAAGTTAAACCAGCCAGAAGTTTACAGTGTTGTTGTTAGATCTATAGTCATTACACTGAATATACAGTGAAGTCTGGAACTTATTCAATAAGCCATAACATAACAGGCCTGGGAAATCACATACTCTCTCTCTCTCTCTCTCTCTCTCCCTCACACACACACAAATATACAAATATACACACAAACACTATTGTATAATGTACACAGATACCAGATACTACAGTATAACATGCACACACACACACACACACACACACACACAGAGCACAGAGGGAGAATGGTATACATACAGTATTAGGTCAGTTTGAACAAATTCACACGCACTGAGTTCCCTACAATGCCTCTCTAATCCACCCCCTCTCC